TGCAGCATAAAGGAGATAGAAAGATACCCCTAACTCCTAGTATAGGTGACATGTTACAGAAATGATTCCCTCGATCATTTCTTTCTCCTTCCTCCTGTTTTTCAATACTTTAAAAATACTTCATATTTTCAAAAAGCTGGACAAGCATCATCCTTGGGAATGGGGTGTAAAGAAAATCTAGAACAAGGGGAAGGAGACTGAAGTGAAAAAGTGTGTGTGGACACCCATGGGCCAAGACCTCTACTCTTCCAATTCTCCCATCCATGATTAATGACACCGCCGACCCAGTCTTGCCTGCATTTGCGTTGTGAGGAGAAACGAAAGTTTGTTTGCCCAAGAGCTTCTAAATCTCCTGAGCAATGATTCATTTGAAGAAAAAATCAAACACCATGAAGCACATTTTCAGCGTCCATAGAGAAAATGTTTGAAACAGAGCACATTGATGAACTTTGAAGAACCATGGCAGGCAATCAGAAGACCAGAATAGATCAGTGCAGTTTGGAGAAGGGTGGAGAGATGGAGACAGGTGAGCTTTGAAGTCAGACCTAAGATCTCTCTCACACACACACACACACACACACACACACACACACACACACTAGCTTCGTGATCATAGGTGAGTTCATTGATCTCTCTGAGGCTTCCTTTCCTTATCTGTAAAACAGAAATAGTGATACATACATTTGTCATTGTTAGGACTGATGAAGTAAGCATTGTTAACCTTTTGAATTCTGTTTGCTAACATTTTGTTTGGGATTTCTGTGTGTATATTTAGGACAAATATTGGTCTGTATTTTTATTTTCTTATGATTTTTTGCTTGGTTAGTTGTTCATTTTTTGAAAAATCCACTCAAATAGCCAGTCTTTAGTTTTAATACAATTAATAATTCAAAGAAGGTTCAAAATTAGTTCAATCAACTAATACTAGGAAGAAGAAAAAAAATCCAATAACTTCAATTGATAGAAAACATCTGAAAAAAATTCAAAGTCATTCATGGCAAAATGTCAATGAAAGGTGTTTATAAAACTTAAAACAGGGCCAAGGATGTAGCTCAGTGGCACCATGCCTGCCTGGCAAGCACAAGGCCCTTAGTTCAATCCCCGGTACCAAAAACAAAACAAAACAAAACAAAAACAACAAAAACTTCACAACATTCTACTTCAGGATAGAGGTTGCTTTTGACCTAAGGTGAGCAACAATTCTAAGATATTATTTCTTACCATTGTTATTCAGCATTGAACTGAGTACCCTAACCAGTGCAATAAGGCAAGACAAATAAAGAAAACAAAATGGTATTTGTTTGCATGTACAGAAACTTAAAAAAAAAAGCAAATACCACTGGAACTAACAAGTATTTTTAGCTATGTTAGGGAGTAGAAGTCTACTATACAAAATTTTATTGTATTTACCTTTCATAGCAATGAACAATTGGAAACCCAATTTCAAAAATAATTTAATTTCCAATAGCATAAAAATTTAAAAAGTACTTAGGGATAATTTTTTAAAAAATATATGCAAAATTGCTACCCTGAAAACTATAAAATATGTCTCACAGAAATTAAAGAGTACATAAATTTTTAATATACTTTTTTGTTGGTACATTTTAGGTATACAGTACAGTTATATTCATCATTGGGTTCTTGCACCTTTACATGATGTATCTTGTTTCTTATTTTTTCCTCCTCCCCCTGCCCTCCTTTCTCCCCCTTCACCCGTCCCTATTTGCGAAGACTTTGTTTCTATTTTTTCTTTTCTCTTATTTTTCTTTTCCCTGCTTACCTTTGCCCTACCCCTCCCACTTCTCTTACACTTTTAGACCTTTTCTTCCTATTACACAATACCAATTATACATTTTGATTTTTATTTATGCTTTTAGTTTATCCCAGCAGAGAAACTGTATGGCATTTATACATTGTGTGAGGTGAACGTGATAGCCACTACACTATGGAAATCACTTATTTACACATTGTGTATCCTATTAATTTCACATAAGAATGTGCACCCACTTAGCTATAAATGTCTCTAGTTTCTCATACTTTATGGCTGAGTAGTATTACATTTTATAAAAAAAAAAAGCCACATCTATGAACATGGGTGTGCATATATCACTGTGGTGTGATCTTTTTAATTCTTTTGGAAAGATACCCAACAGGGGAATAGCTGGGTCAAATAGGACTTCTAATCCTAGTTGTTCAAGGTGTCTCCATATTGATTTCCACTGTGGTTGCACCAGTCTGCACTCCCACTAACAATGGAGAAGGGTTCCTTTCTCCCCACAACCTTGTTAGCATTTGTTATTGGTTGATTTCTTGATAGCAGCCATTCTTTCTGGGGTGAGGTGGAATCTCAGTGTTATTTTCATCTGCATCTCTCAGAAGACCAGTGATGTTGAACATTTTTTCATATATTTATTTGCTGTTTTTACTTCTTTGAGAAACGTCTATTTCAGATGCCCATTTTTGAGTTGGGTCTTTATATTTGGGGGGACCTGATTTTTTTGAATTCTTTATGTATTCTAGATAGTAGACTTTTGTCTGAGGAACAGCTGGTAAAATTTTTTCCCCCACACTGTAGGTTGTCTCTTAGCTCTGTTGATGGTTTCCTTTGCAGTGCAGAAGCTTTTTAATAAGAAGAGATCCCAGTTGTTCTTTGTGCTAGTTCCTGTGCTACCGAGGATTTGTTCATAAAGTCTTTTCCTATACCAGTGTCTTCAAGAGTTCCACCTAGCTTATCTTCCAACAAGTTTAGGGTTTCGCTTTTAGTATTTAGATCTTTAATCCATTTGGATTTTAGTTTAGTGCGTGGTGAAAGATAGAGGTCTAGTTTTAATCTTTGGCAGGTTGAAATCCAGTTTTTCCAACACCATTTATTAAAGAGACTATCTTTCCTCCAGTGAGGATTGTCAAAGATGAGGTGGCTGAGTGTGTCTGGAGTTGTTTCTGCATCTTCTAATCTATTCCACTGATCCTCAGGTCTATTTCTTTACCAGTACCATGCTGTTTTTATCACAGTAGCTGTGTAGTATAGTTTCAAGTTGCAGATTGTGATACCCCCTCTCATGTCTCTGTTGCCTGGAATTGCTTTTGCTATTTTAGGTCTCTTCTGATTCCAAAAGAATTTTTATATTGCTTTCTCTAGTCCTGTAAAATATACTGTTGGGATTTCAATAGGGATTGCACTGAATCTGTGTAGTAGTTTTGGAAGTATGGCCATTTTCACTCTATAGATTCTTCCTACCCAGGAACAAGGGGTGTCTTTCCATTTTCTTATATCCTCTTCAAAGAGTACCTAAATTAATGGAGAGATACACATTGGAGGATTCAACTTTGTTCATATGTTAATTCTCTGTAAGTTGATCAATGGGAAAAAGATAAGCACACTAATAGTAGAAAAGAAATTGATCAATTGATTTGAGGCACTTTCAACTTCAAAAGTGAGTTTTATAAACATTGACAACATAATTTTGAAAATCATATGGAATATATAAACCAAACCACGTTTTTAAAAAGTTGAAGAACTAAATAATTTTGAGAAAAAAATAAAGAAGCAAAGCTTAAGACTTACTTTATCTGTTAGAATTTAATTATGAAATTAAAATAAAAAATTTTTAATAGGGCTAGGGAAGTGAAGTGGGGGGTTGACTTCAAAGAGAAACTTTGAGGGGCTGCGGATTTAGCTCAGTGGTTCCGCCGCCTGCCTGGCACGAACGAGGACCCGAGTTCCATCCCTGGTACAAAAAAAAACAAAAAAAAAAAAAAGCTTTGGGGGGATGAAATTCTTTACTATCTCAATTGTGGCAGCGGCCAAACAGGCGTGTATGTTGCTCATAACTCATCAAACCGCACTTGCTATGAGTGCAATGTATCGAACGTAATTTATGACTCAGTAAAGTTGATTGAAACATTCAAAGTGAAGTGGAGCAACAGTTCTGTAAAGCAGGACATCGTTGGGAATAAATGGCGCAGAGTAATGGATATGGCTCAATCCTCTCCAGGTTGATTTGCCCTACATTGCACTGATCAAAGTTCCGATTCCTGGGAGGAAGGGTCCGAGGGGCCGCTAGGTCAGGTTCACTTCTGAGCAGGCCGGAGCTGGGCCGTCCTCCCGGACCGTCCCACCCAGGCTGTGCTCCTTGCGTGTGGCAGGGAGCTCCCCAGACGGGTCGGCGGCGCTGCTGACAGATGCGGGTAACCCCAAGGCTGATGAACGAAATCAGCACACCCCCTCCCGACCCCATTTTTTCAGGGGCTCAAACGCGGGGCTCAAACGCGGAGCTTTTTCTTCAGACCGCAGTGAGTTCGCTCAGACGTAGTGCGCGGCCCCGACTGTCGGCCCGGAGCTGTTCCAGGCTGGGGGCGAACGGGCACTTGGATTTGTTTACAAACAGAGTTCACAGCGCTGTGAGGGAGAGAAGCCGGGTGGAGGATTATCTGGTGCAACGTTGGAGCCGTTTTTGTTGTTGTTTGAGGGTGGGTAGAATTGATGCAAGAAGAGGCGTTCTGGCAATCGGACAGGTTTGCTCCTCTGGTCTGGAAGAGGCGGGCGGGGGACCCCGGAGGACGCGCGTCCTGC